AATTGCTGATTTAACAATTTTGTAGTAACAAAAAGTGTCCAACACGTTTCGATGTAGATTTCACAGTAAAAAATGTGGAAAGCTAATTCAACCACGGGAGTGGTTAAATTAGCTTTCCACTTTTGTGAAATATACAATGGAAACATGTCGGACACATTTTTTAACAAGTTAATCGTTAAATGCAGCAATTCATTTTTTTCCGTGCACACAAAAACGAAGCTCGAATATATGAATACAATAGGAAGACATTAAAACATGGGTGGAGAAGGCTTTAAAACATTAAAAACATTAAAAGATAGACCGTTTCGAGCCGTCACCGGTGATTTTTTAGCTCCTAAAACACGAAAAGTTCATACAAAGTTGAGTGGCGACCTGACCCCAGTTGTTATCACGTAAAGAAGTTAAGTTGATCGTTGGAGTTTTTTCGTGGAACTAACAAGTTTTTACTGTCGTGTTTCGGATTTTTTCTCTTTGACTCCAGAAATGATGGAAATTGCGTGGGATTCCTCCTCCTGAAAATTACTGATTGTCAGGGAATTTTTGCATTTTGTCCTGAAAATTATCAGCCTATACTTATACAGCCTTATTTCTCTTATATTAAAAAAAAAAAAACTTTCTCAGACAATCCATGACTGTTTGGTTCGTATGAGACTGAACTTTTAAATTCCAAGTTCTTATATTTCGAATTTTCTTCTTTTATAACATTAAAAATCATGGAGGTTGCATGATTTTCTCTAAAAATTCTGAAAAGAAATTTGTACATTTTGTCATAAAATTTATCAGCTTATCAAAGATTTCATTTTTCTGTATTTTGTGTTTTATTATTTTTTCAAACAATCAGTGGGTGGTCGATTCGGCGAACCAACTTTCGGACTTATCTGAACTGAAAATAATAGCGGTCTAGAAATGTGAACGAAACGCCCTTCTACACTGAAAAACTGATAGTCAGCGGTTCGTAAAATCAAATATTCGTAGGTCGATCGATATTGAGTACTACATTCAATTCACACGATAACACTTTTCTCGAATCGGCGGAAAACCCAGAAGAAAACAGCAGAAAAAATGTTCGGCTGGAGTAAAAATAACGAAGGTACAGGTAGCTTACTTAAATATCACACTTGGAACTCTGTAAGTGAAGTAAAAATGTACAAGGACTTACCGAAGGTTTCAATTTCGTCCACTGTCAGCAGTTGATTTGATTTCATCCGCCTGTTTGTGGCTTGTTATTCGTCATCCAAATTGCGTCTTTTGAGCAGACCTTTTTTCTTCTTGTCTGCTCTGTTGTAAACTTGCACATATTCTAAATTTCAAATGAGGGGCCAGGAGAGCAAGGCGCATAAGTGTAGATTTTGAAAAAATTGAGGTATCAGTGATTTCAAGTGAAACCAGTCCTAATTCATACTCTGTGAAAAAGTCTCTCCCAAATTCCAATTTTTAAACATCAAAAAGTCACTTTGAACTTTTTTCCGCCACAAAGATCCATGTAATTTCGGAATTTCAAACACTTATTTCTCGAAATGGCAAAAACTGCACTTATGCACCGTGTCCTCCGAGCCTATCAAATGCTTTTTTGCGCGTTGTTTTTCATTTGAATTTTCTCCTGAACAAGGATAACAATTTTTCCTTTTTGGGCTAAGCACCATTCGAAGAAATTCCTAGCAATTTTTCAGATGTGTGCTCAGGTATTAATGATATTGTCAGAAACTAACAATGCTCAGTGACTTTAACGCAGCAAAGAAAAAACAACTAAGTCGTTTCGAAGTCAGTTATCTATAAGTATTGTAACTTTGAGAAGATCGATTATTAAATGTTTGTTTGATTACTTTTTGAGGTAATCTTATGTTTTTGGATACTTGACATGAATTCAGCACATAGGAATCACACATACGTTAAGATGAAGTAGAAAAAGACGTTTCAAACTTAGTTCTTTCATCCATCAGACTCATTATCAGTTCAAGGAATTTTAAGTTGACCTCTCGAGTCCTAAAAATGTCTCAAGGATTTTGAGTAGATCTATAGTCGGAGAAAGCATGTATTAGTCTAGCCGGAGATCACTGAAAATGGATTTTTTTCTGTATCTTTTTTTTTTTTTTCAATTTTGACCTGTTCCTTTCTGCCAAACTCATTTCAGTTTGAGGTAAAGTGATTAGCTCAAATGACCTATTTTATTTCTGAAATGTTTAAAAATTGGTATCTTTGCTAGATATTTAAATTTCTGAAGCGTTTTAAACGACCTTTGAAAGTTTGATAGCATCACTTCCCAATATTCGAAGCCTAGGGAAAATTAAAGAGTCGGAAGTGTTAAATTGCATTGCAATATTATGAAGTTCATCAAATTTTCGTCAAATCTTAATATGTAAATTGTCGTTCAAAACGAAGAGGGATTTCGTAACTTCTCTAGAGTAAATGAATACATTGTTGAGTAAAATCTAGGAACATCGCGATGCTATTACGCCGTATCTAACTCTCACCTCTTCATCTGAATTAGAAAATAATTTGGACCAAGTTTAAAAGAAAGTAACTGTCAAAAGTTACATCAAGATTGAACTGAGGAAAATAAGTTTAACGTTTTATTCTTCCTCGAGACTAAATTCCATTAATAATATTCAACGCATACTCTCACATTCGAAATATCATCTCTCAACTTATAATTTGTTTCACCAAAGAAATTGTACAGAAAGTCACGCTCAAAAATATCCCAACTCATTGTTTTCCCTTTTTTTTTCAAGTGAATTGTCTCATTTCCTCCTGTTTGATGCCGTCCATTGTTTTACAGAGAAATGGTTCCAAAAACCTCGTAACCGTAACCGTAACCGTAAGCCGTAAACCGTAAACCGTAAGAATAGGATTCATTTTTACTGCGCGAATCGTGGTATCTCGCAAAAGACAGTTTTTTGAAGACGATAGTCAACCTGGTTTTAAAATGAGTTAGGACGTTGCTCACGTTTTTTACCCCCTTAAATTTGAGAAAACGCACAAGAAAAATGGGATCGTTGCTTTCGCAAAACTCAGGATGGTTTCCAGATCTCACCCAGTGGTGTGGCGTGTTTTGCGATTCATCGATTGATCTGTCATTTAAACCTATGGAAAAGGATCGATAAAAATCGATATAATCGATAATATATTCTTTAGTATAGCTTCAAATGGGAAAATATCGATAATCGATCATAACAGTGCTACATTGTTATCAGAACCGAAAGAATTGTTGTTATCATTAATGTAACTTTGTGAAAGTAGGTAGGGCCTGGATCCACCACAAGCATTGTAAGGACGATGATTCTTTTTTCTCGCGCTGTTCCCTCAAATCAATAAAGTAAAAAACAAAACCAACGTCCCAACTCATTTTAAAACCAGGTTGACCATCATTTTCGAGCAGGCAGCCGCTCCGAGGTGTCACGATTCATTTCGAGAAAATAAATCCTATTCTTACGGTGGTTTTTGGAACCGTTCGTCCGAGCCTGGAAAGTAGATGAACGGGATTCCAGAGAGGCAAAATTATGCAAATGAAAAATAACAGCATCGGAATGCAGTTTGATTTTTTCCTCGATAGCGGACACTCATATGGGCGTATTCTTGCTGAAAGGAACTATGTGCATAGGGTTTGCATGTCACATAGTTCCTTCTAGCATATATACGTCCACATTTGCTGTCTGGTTTCGTATTTTTGAATCACAAATGGATTTCTTTTTGCATTTTAAGCCACTAATTCCGGCTCATTGAAGAAACAGTATATGTTTTGTTAGTTTCCCGCTGCAGATAGGTGCTTTTATCGATGGGTCAGAAATGGTGGTTACTTATTCAAAATGCAGTCTGAACGTGAACTCGTAGTTTTTTTTAAGTAGAGTGACTGACTTGCGGTCTGTGATTGGTTGCTTATTATATCTAGTAGCAAGGTCAGATCTAGGACAGCAGCACGAAAAAAGGCTGTGCGCCTTTGTTCAAAATTAAAATTCAAACAATTTTTCCTGAAGACATCGATGAAACACTAGGCCTGCTTTTTTATAAAGCGAAATAAAATATTTCTTAGTCAGGGAGAAAAGAAAGAAGTTAGGCATTTTGCTCAAATTTAGGAAAACTAGTTCTTCCGTCAATGGACTTGGAACCTTTAGAACTTACACTCTTCTTTGTCAGCTCAGAAATTTTTAAATTTCCTCAAAATCAAAACGATTTTGTCGTTTTGGGTAACAAAAAGTTAGTGGGGTGGCATGTCATATCATGATCTCAACTTCGTTCTTTCCCCAAAAAAAGTTTGCCAAGTATATGTACGTGGGATTTTACAGTATGTTTCAATTCTACTAATTTATTTAACTCATATTTTATCGATACAATGTATTCTCAAAGGAAAAACATAAAAAATTCCCACGGACTCTGAAACATTATTACCTTCCACACATTGCAGTAGCCCTGACGATTACTACTTTCACACTCACTGTAAGTGCTGTATTAGTATATGAGGACTCATCTGTAACAATAGCGGATGTGAAAAATTACCTTTGCGAAACACATTCAAAAAACTGTTTTGGCATCGAGAAAATTTTGAGAAAATACTTGAGATGTGATCTTCAAGATCTGTACATTATGCCAGATCCAAACATATTTTTTTGTGTGAACAAAACAGTTTTTTAAGCGTATTTCGAAAAGGTAATTTTTCACATCCGCTATTGTTACAGATAAGTCCTCATATGCATTATGCATGTGCGGTTTGTGAAAATGTGACCTCAAAAATGTTACATATTTTGTTTTCGTTTTATTGAAATTTAATTTATTGATCTATCGTCCACCTGCGTAAATTTACAGAAAAAAATTTGATGAATTTGTCTATGATGTTTTTCATCCTCCCCCGCGAGCAAAAAGTAAAATGGCGGGAGGAATTGAAATTGACGTTTCGGATTCGAGTCATTTTTGTAAAAATTTATTAAGATTCATTTTATAAATAAAGTCATATTTATTTTCATCACATATCAGAATTAAAAAATAAATAAATAATGTATAAATAAACATCAGAGTGAAAGGACCTTTTATTTACTTTACACATATTAATTATAAAATAAATAATAACTAGTCACATTAATGAGATATTTAAAGAAGGAACTTAGCAAATTTATGTGGGAGTGTTCTATGTCTGCAGTAAGAAGATGAGTCCACGGACTCGGGGGTTTGTATTTATGGCACAACAAGGATAATCAGGGTTTTTGCTTGCTTATCAAGAAACACTAAATTAGAGAAGCAACTTTATACATTTTTTTTTTCATTTTTCGTTTTTTGATTTTTTTTTTTTTGGCAAAAGAAGAAAGAAAAGCTATTATAAAACTAATTTTTGAGGGAATGTGCCCGTTGAGAATTTCTTCCTGACGAATGATAAACGATGGAATCGGACTCGTCCATGTCAATTAAAGCAACTACCTTATCACATATTCAATTCATAGAATTGAGGGGGAAAAATACGCAATGACTCACGTATGTACACCTTCTCTTTCGTGTATAAAATGCAACTGGTAAACTGGGAAGGAGACGAAAATATGTTCAGCGAGCGAATGAGTTCATCTCCGTTGATGAATCAATCTCACACATTAAGAGACGAGACAGCCTCGACTAACGCACATCTATGCACCTTAATCTAGTCACCTTCGTTCTCAGTTCAAACGGACCGAAGCGAGCGCCATGCCGAGGGCACCGTCCGGTATCCTCAGAAATTTTTGAGCAATGAGTAACCCACCGACGGCGGGAGCATCTCGAAATGAACACTTCCCCACAGAATTCTAGATGTTATTCCTTGTGCTGACTAGATATTTTCGCATTCGGTCAAAAATAGGTCAACATTCCACGCCTGGCTAAACGGTTGCATATCCTTCGTCGTCGAAGGGGCGAATTCGGCGCATTGCGGGTTGCGAACGCCGAAAATTGAAGGCGCGAATCGGATTGCTCGTTGCATGCTTCGAGGTTCGAAGGAGCATTTCGAGATGCCGCCATCGTAGAGCCACCCAGGTAAGATTGAGGCGCTCAACGGTCCATTTGAAGAGAGACAACTGGCGTGCGGGGGGTCAAACTAGACTATGCTATAAGAGCCTACGGTATACGCGCAGTATACGTCCAGATCCATCTTATAGTATACTCTCAGTTCAACGAGCGTCCCGGAAACGAGCCGGGAACGGGGCCGAGGACCGGGACTTTGGAACTGGACTGATCCCGAGGCCCAATCGGGCGTTCCCCGGGCGTTTCCAATGAGACGCGGCACCGAAAATCAAAATGTACAGTTACGAGTAAAACTATGTACATGAGTGTTCAAAAGCATGTACAAGTTTCTTAGCTCGAGTGGGAGGGCGCGGCGTCGGCGTCGGAGGCCTTCTTCTTCTCTTCTTTCATCTCTTCTTTCTTCATCTCCTTCTCTTTGAACTCCTCCTTCTTCTTGTCTTTCTTGTCTTCTTTCTCTTCTTTCTTCTCTTTCTTCTCTTCCTTCTTCTCTTCCTTCTTCGGCTCGTCCTTCTTCTCTTCCTTCTTCTCTTCCTTCTTTTCTTCCTTCTTCTCCTCCTTCTTCTCTTCTACGGGCTTGGAGTCCATCTCGGGTTTCTTCTCTTCTTTGGCTTCTTCTTTCTTGACTTCCTCTTTCTTGGGCTCTTCGGGGGCGGGGGTGACTTCGGCGGCGGCGACAGTCTCCTTCCTCTCTTCGGTGGCGGCTACGACGGGGGAGTCGACCTTCGGGGTGGGGGCGACTTCGGAGACTACGGGTGGGACGACTGGTTTGGACTCAGGGGCGTCGGCGGCTGGTTTCTCCGGTTTGGACTCCGAAGAGGCGACTACCGCGGGGACCTCAGCGGTTTTGGTTTCTTCCTTCCTGGGGGCGTCCTCGGGTTTGACGGGTTCGCCTTTCGGGGTCTCTGGGTCCATAACCTTGAAAAAACGGAAGTGGGTCAAGGTCGTGTTACCGCAACGCAACGCCCCACAGTGGGTCGAGTTACTAGGAGAGGTCGGACACAATTCGAAGACTTTAAACGGCCATTACTCGGTTCATACAAACGTTTGAGGTCTTAAAAGTGGTTTCATTGGTTTCCTCGTAAAATTTTCTGTTAATAGCACCCCTTGAAATTTAAAATGAGACGAAATAAACATCGAAATTTGCAGTATTGGTAAAAAAATGTATGTCCGACCTCATTAATAGACTCAATCCACTGTGCGCCCGTAGTTCGGGTCGAAACAAAACAAGTGGTGAATTTTTTCATAATTTTGATTTTTAATAGGTCTAATGCAGACGTGTAGTGAAAAGGGAGGGGGCTCTGGGGGTATGGAGTACTTGAATTTTTCCCTTCAATAAGAAATTGTCCACAATTTTTGACGAATGAATGACAATGAAATGAATTTAGACAAATTTTTGACTTCGGACCTTCTTCCATCTCCATGAGAATTCGTAAGCTACGATGCTATTGAAATATACTTATAGGTAAAGAAAAAATTCAGAGGAATAAGTCACTTTGTGGATCTAATGCGTACTATTGTAACTCTTAGCTTGTATGGCTCTAGCTTTTGGACCGTTGGTTGGAAAACAACAGTGGTTCGATAATGAGAAAAAATGTGACAATTGTAGAAACTATACTGCCTAAGTCGAATGAAGCGTATCTCCATTGAAAAGTTTAAAAACTTCCGAACTTAGTTCCTTTTTACATAGAAAACTAACCAAAGTATATTTTTAAAAATGTCCCTGTGAATGTTTAATTCAGGGAAGAAAAGATCCAGAAAACGATAGAAAACTGTCGGTCATTTATCTTTGTAAAAGCAAAACTTTCGCACAGAATTGCAGCGTGAAAGTTGCAAATCCGCGTTCCAAGCCTCTCTGAGCTTGACGAAAACTTTGTCACAACGGGACGATATTTTGCTATTAGGAACTAGTACAGCTGCCTCATCGTAGCATCACATATTTGCCAATGTTTCTCCTCTGCAGATAGGTGCTTTTATGGTTGAGCTGTAAAAAGTAGTTCCTTATTGCAAAATTCACTCCACCTAATGAAAGAGTAATCCTGTTCGCTCCCTATTTTCTTCATTATTCCTCTTTAAAGCTCTGTATTAGACCGCTTTTGGTCGACCAAATTTTACTTAATCGAGCTCACATGACATAATCACTCTCTCCAAAAGGACATTTTTCGGTCTCTCTGTTTAAACCTGGGTTTTCTGACATCTTAGGTTATAAATCCAAGTCTTCCCTACATCTGATGATAACGTATGACCAAGTTGAGGAGCAGTGGCGTGGCGTGCTTTGCGATTTATCGATTGTTATGCCATTTAAACCTATGGAAAAGGATCGATAATCAGGGTGTTCGCAGCGAACACCTTAGTAATCGATTCTTTACCATAGGTTTAAATGGCATAACAATCGATATATCGCAATTCACGCCACGCCACTGTTGAGGAGAGTAACTATTTGTGTATGACAGTACTTTTTGTCATTTTAATGAGCTTTTTCGACAAACTATGTTTGAAAGCCGGCAGCTTCTGAATGAAACTGAAGCCTCTGCTAGTTCAACTCCTTTTTTATGAGTTGTTTTTAATCATTGAAGTAATATTTCTCTCTTCATAAATTAAAGCGTTTCCCATGAGCTCGTGGGCAAACCGCCCCCTGCCTGTTTTAATAATTATTAAGCTGAAGTTGCTTTCAATTAGAGTTTCGCTCTTTCTCCTAAGTGAAAATGGAAAAGAATGTAATTAAAACGAATCCTCGCTTAACTATTTTTCCACCCATCTCCAACTTTATAGTGTGCTCATTTCTGCTGAATTTTTTTTTTTTTTTTTTTTTTTTTTTTTTTTTTTTTTTTTTTTTTTTTTTTTTTTTTTGCGAATTACCCTCCTCGGGCAAATGAAACGAAAATAAGTACCATTTTCTTCGTTAACACTTGATTTATACTTTCATAACAGAATTATTTTAGTAAAGCTCATTATTAGTTAAGTACAATCAATAAAAATAAGGCTGATTTCAAGCACGAGTACATCTCACGAAGACTTCATATCAATAGAATATTAGGGTAGAAGGACAGATGAATAATTTTGCTCGAAAGCACGAATACTAGTCAGACTACATTTTGCAATTGGCAACTATAAATTCTAGCTAAGTTTAGAAACAACATATATACCGTTAATTTTCCTGTGCACATGAGTGTTTTTACGGATGAGCCAAAATTGTAGCTCCCATTTGCAAAATGTAGTCCAAACCACTCTCAAATCAGAAAACCTTCTCTACAAACATCACTCTGCACTTAACATAGGACAGTGTCTTAAGAAAAGGAACCTGGTTCTGTTCTGGAGGATAATTTGACGCGGTTTGAATTCTTAGCAATAGTTAAATGTCAGCAGGGCTGTTGCCCCAGTTCTATCAATCAGTTTTGACTGTTGAAATTTATGGATCAGCAAAACATGTAATAACATTTTATTAAATGTCAAGTCTCTCCATCAAATAATAATGGCTGAATGGCGCGTTTGAAAGCATTGTGGTTCACGTTTATCTCTAGCCCATGTTTTCCAAACGGAGGATTAAATATTAGAGCCTAACACAAAGCGGAGCGGCGACGCACTGGCGCCTACAAACCCCTGTTTTATCCCTGTGTGTTATTATCCCTGTTAGGTTTGTAGGCGCCAATGCGTGTTTTGCGCTGGCTGCCCGCCTGCCACGGCGCTTGAAGCAACTATTTCACACCAGAGGTATTGCACAGTATCATACGAAACTGAAGGCGCTCTAATATATTAGAAATGGCAGGCATCCATCAAAAGTACGGAGCTTTCCTTGCAAAATAAATCAAGATACTACGGCCCAAAAAGAGAGCAGTATTCCAAAAACTCACTAAGTCCTAGCATCCGTAATTAGTAACGTTTAGCATACACTTTATCGCCTGGCTGTTGCTTAGTCACCATCGGCTGTAAAAGGCTATAAGAAATTGTGTAGCCGGCTAATGAAGCTATTGGAAATCTCACAGACGGCTGTAGGTCTATGGTATTTTGGAACATAGATTCTACTGCCAATTTTTACCAGGGGAGGCGAGTTTTCGGAAATTCGGTTACGACCGCCAAAGCAACCATCAACTCTTTGGTCAACAGTCATCGTTAAGCTAATCTGAGCGTTGCCTTCCGAAAATAACCTCCACTCTATGGGTAAGATATTAGTGCGGGGGTCTCTAGATATAATCAATGGCCAAAGTGCATGCGGAATCCCGTATCTCCGTTCGTAATATTTCAGATTTCCTGTCATCCTTTATTTTCTCATTGAAAAAGTAGTCAATATCATTTCTTGAGAACTTCCCTCATTTTTCTTTTCTGTTAGCAGAATATTGTGTATAAATTCCAAGTTGTACAGTTGGTTTGTTTCTTTTGGAAAAAATAAAATGGGAGTGGAAATTTTGAAACACCGCAATGGAGATACGTGGTTTCGCACTTAAACCATTGATGCACTGTCTCTGGGATGGTCTCCGAAAGTCATTCGAAATTGTGCTCCTCCAGAACAGACCGTGGACCCTGAAAACAGCAGTGGCGAGGCATGAATGATCGATTATCGATGTATTCCCATTCGAAGCTATGCTAAAGAATCGATTATTAAGGTGAACCCTTTTTATCGATTCCATAGGTTTAAAAGGCAGATACGTCGATATATCGATATATATGGATAAAATGATTTGCAGCCCGACATGATACAAAAGATGACACAATAAAATTTGGGATAATAGCTGTAAACACATAAAAAATACCGTACGTTTCGGGGCGAAACAACCAACCCCTTCCTCAAACAAAACAAATTAAGCTACGAGCATTGGCGAGATGGGGAGGAGGTATTTTTTTAGATTTTTAGCTTAATTTTTTTGTTTCAGCCGCTGAGGAAGGGGTTGGTTGTTTCGCCCCGAAACGTACGGTATTTTTTATATGTGTTTACAGCTTTTATCCCAAATTTTATCGTGTCATCTTTTATATCGATACATCGATATCACGCCACGCCACTGGGAAGCAGTTCTACCAATCGCAAAGCGCCGGAATAAACTTTCTGATTACCTTCTGCTCGGAGATTTCGCTGGCTGCAGGCTTGATCTCTTCTTTCTTGTCTTCCTTGAGGGGCTCTTCCTTCTTTGGCTCCTCTTTCTTTTCCTCCTTCTTCTCTTCCTTCTTCTCTTCCTCCTTCTTGGGTTCCTCCTTCTTGGGTTCTTCCTTCTTCTCTTCGGCTACGGGTTTGGCGTCCTCGGCCTTTTTGGCTTCGTCGACGACGGCGGCGGGAGGAGGAACTGCAACTGCGTCCTTGGCGGGCTCGCTTGGGGACACGACGGCGGGTTCCTCCTTCTTAGGGGCCTCGGCCGCAGCTGGGGCAGCTGAAATCAAAGAAAATAACATTATTAGAAATTGTAGGTTTTATTGTGGTAAAAACGAGGAGAAGGGGGGGGGATTCAATTTTCGTACAGGAATTTAAGAATGGTAATCAGCTATAGAGTACCATAGGTAAAAAAAAAAAAAAAAAAAAAAAAAAAAAAAAAAAAAAAAAATAAATTTTTGTACAGGAATTTAAGAATGGTAATCAGCTATTACCAAAACCAGGGTTGCCACAGTCAGGGAATACCGGGAAATTTCAGGGAATTTCACAAAGTCAGGGAAAACCGGAAAATGTCAGGGAAAATGTCGAAAATGTCAGGGAAAATTTTGTTAAATCTCCTTTATATTATTTGCGCTCTAAAATAGATTTGATGTTTCGAACCGCAAATTTTGCCTGAAACCTATTTACAATTATGTCTTCCTAACCATTTGTCATATCTTCAATTGCCAGGGAATTCCACCAAAATGTGTCAGGGAAATCAGGGAAATATCACGGGATTCCACTTTCCTAATTCTGTGGCAACCCTGCAAAACCGTGAAATTGAAATTTCTCCCTGTGTAGAGTAATTTCTCGTGGAAGAGTTGGCATACATTTTTGGCGACCGTGAGGGCAACATGATACTTCAATGCGTGAAGCTCCGTATCCTTGAAGTACCTTGCGCCATTTGGACATATTTCTGCCAATCGGAGTTATGTGCATTATGACGTAAACCCTGTTATGCATATTACACGGATTAAATTTTGTTAAAAGGAACCACTGTCTTTGGCTCTACGATGAAAGCACATATCTGCATAGGGAAACCAATGGCACGTATGTTGTTTCTAAAATGGGCAAGAAATAGTGGTTCCTTATTGCAAAATGTAATCCACATATTCTTATGGGTCTCGGGGCTCATGTCTTTATGCACATAGTTCCGTTTGGCAGAAATACGTCCATTTATGGACAAACTGATAGACATATTCGTGCACTGGACTTATACTAGATCGTTCACATTGCACCGAAAAAAAAAGAGAAAGAAATCGATTGAACATTTTGGATGTAAAAAGAGTGTGCGAGAACTTATAAAATACTAAATTACCCGCCCCAGCAGTTAGTTTTACATCTTGGCATTGCTGAAGTAGCTGCTGTAGCGGGTAATTCAGCATTTTCTGAGTTCTCGCACACTTTTTTTACATCCAGAATGTTAAATCAACTTCACTTTTTTTGGTATGAGACCAAAGAGCAGTCAATGTCCTCTGAAAATTTCAGTGTTGAATCGTGCTCTAGCTCAGCTCCGCAGCCTCAATCGATCCTAATACCGCGGACTCTTCACCCCATTCAAAGCACTACCCCTATGCCAACCTTTTTAACCTCTCACGTCCGGAGAAAGGGGAGCTTTAATAAATGAGGGGGCGAGCCGTCTCGAGGGTCTTCAGGAAAAGGCCTCACCACTAACAAGCCCTCGTTCGTCACGCTACTCAAACTTCCCCGGAGATGAAGCGTGGCGTGCTTTTCGATGTATCGATCCATCTGACATTTAAACCTACGAAAAAAGATCGATACGGTGGCGTGGCGTGCTTTTCGATACATCGATTGATCTGTCATTGAAACTTATTGGAAAGGATCGATGAAAGGGCGTTCGTTACGAACACCATAATAATCGATTCTTTACCATGGCGTTCGTTACGAACACCATAATAATCGATTCTTTACCATAGATTCAAATGGGGGAAGTATCGATATTATCGATTGTCTCGCCTCGCCACTGGCGTAAACCTTTTTAAGATGAAGAGCCCGGCGAAAGTTTAAAACTTCTCAACAGCCCGAGTGGTTTTTTCTAATAACGTCGGAGCGATCATACCCTCTCAAACCTACCCTTCAGACGACAAGCAAACCAATCTACAGGGTTATCCAGAAGTCTGGGACCCCCCTTATAACTTTTGAACAAAAAATGCTAGAGATTTGAAATTTGGGGAATGTTCCTAGGTGAAAGGGAACTACTTTTTGGCGTACCCAAAATTTCGGGGGGCGATCCCCCTGACGGGGGGCGGACCCTAACCCTTTTTTTTCAAATAGGAACCCCTATCTTGTGATACATCATTCGAAAGGGCTTGAAAAAAGAAAACTTTTGGCGCAAACCGATTGTCGATACCTCAATTTTTAACAAAATGGCGGCCAAAAAATGGCGGAAATGCGTTTTTTGGTTATTTACCGTCGGATTCGCTTGAAACTTGGTTTCCACAGGTTTTCGAGCACGAAAAAAACAACCAAACCACGGGGTGAGTCCTGGGTGGTTGAAATGACAAGTCAGGAAACACGATTTTCAATTGGCTGAGAGCACCGCACAGGAAATCTGACACATTCCGATTTAAACTTATTTTCCCGCCATTTTTCGGCCGCCATCTTGGAAAAGCTCGGGTATTTTGCAAATCCAATATCGTATTTGTTTTTTCGTGCTCGAAAACCTGTGGAACCCAAGTTTCAAGCGAATCCGACGGTAAATAACCAAAAAACGCATTTCCGCCATTTTTTGGCCGCCATTTTGTTAAAAATTGAGGTATCGACAATCGGTTTGCGCCAAAAGTTTTCTTTTTTCAAGCCCTTTCGAATGATGTATCACAAGATAGGGGTTCCTATTTGAAAAAAAAGGGTTAGGGTCCGCCCCCCGTCAGGGGGGTCGCCCCCGAAATTTTGGGTACGCCAAAAAGTAGTTCCCTTTCACCTAGGAATATTCCCCAAATTTCGAATCCCTAGCATTTTTTGTTCATGAGTTATGAGCGGAGGCCCAGACTTTTGAATGAGCCGCCGTTTTTTGGCCGCCATTTTGTTAAAAATTGAGGTATCGACAATCGGTTTGCGCCAAAAGTTTTCTTTTTTTAAGCCCTTTCGAATGATGTATCACAAGATAGGGGTTCCCATTTGAAAAAAAAAGTTAGGGTCCGCCCCCCCTCAGGGGGGGCGCCCCCCAAAATTTTGGGTACGCCAAAAAGTAGTTCCCTTTGACCTAGGAACATTCCCCAAATTTCAAATCTCTAGCATTTTTTGTTCAAAAGTTATAAGGGGGGTCCCAGACTTCTGGATAACCCTGTATGTGTCTCCCAATTTTTTCTTTGTTTTTTTCTCATTCTGTTAATTTCTTTTATTGCAGGTAAGAGGCTACCATTCCAGGACTGTTTTTAAGCTTACGCTGGTGAGTTTACCTCTGCATGAGTACAGTTTGACCTTATTGTGCAGTTAGGAACTATTATATTTCTGGCTCATTTTGTACACAACCAGGGTGTCTACGAGTCCGGAATTTCCGGAAAGTCCGGAAGTAATACTTATTTTTTAAAAGCGGTCCGGAAGTACTGAAAGAGTGCGGAAATTCTGTAAGATAGTCCGGAATTTGTCCATTTTTTGTAATTTTTATCGCATTTTGAGCGAGAAATTCAAATTTTTGAAATTTATCGAATCTCGTGAATGGGGGGTACTGAAAAGGGACCGAATTTTTCTATTGAGGAGGCACTGGATTTCTTGGGAATGTACTGAAAAAGTACTGTAAAAGTACTGATTTTTGGTCAGCCTGTTATAGTAGACACCCTGACAACGTATGTGATACTAGTTTCCCTATGCAGATAGATCCTTTTGTGAGGAGCCAGAAATATTAGTCTCTAATTGCAAAATGTAATCCAGTTTTAGTTCCTATAATTTAGTTCGTGTTACGAAGTCAGGCAAAGGGTACTTTCAGGTGGAAACTCAATTGTTCAATACAGCAAGAAACCCGGTTTCGGGCTTAATGTATGCAGTTTTCAGTTTTCGAAGCCCTCTCTAGCAGAAGCAGATCCAGCAAGTTGGTACAATTGTTTTCTCTCCATTTAAACCTATGGAAATGAATCGATTCTTGGATGAACCAGGCGCTCCGACAAGAATCGATTATCCAACACGGGTTTAAACTGAGAGAAAACATTGCTGCCATGTTGCTGATTCCGCTAATGCAGTGCTCGCAAGATCATTAGTTCATAGTTTCAAGTCATAAGTGAAATTATAAATGATGTTATATGCGTTTTAAATTAATCATTCTTAAGGGTTGTATTCATTGTCGTTCCGTGAGCAGATCCTAAAGCTCAGTATGGTTTACATTGCGATTTAAGAAAGCCTCAAAGAGAGCCTATAACTTCGTAAAAAGGATACTTTTATCCAATCTCGAGGAAAAGTTAGCTTTGAAAATGGGTTCTTCAAAGGGAAAAACTATTTTTAATAATGTTTTATTAATCATCCGTCAGATCTGCAACGGAAATGTTACACGTGTGAGGAATTTGCGATTTGACTGTTGATTCTCATGTAAAAGTTCGCGAGAAACAAGATGATGCCACTGGTTATCTCTGAAATCAACTCTCAAGCTCACCAAAAGCTCTTAAGTTGAGGGCAAAATGGAGAAGATATCCCACGCTATCCTGAGAGTCCACCTCTACATCAAGACAAACTCTCCATGCAAAGATAGGGAGCAAATACATTAGTAGGGTTGCCGTGTTTTCTGCTTTGGAGTCCTCAAATAAAGTGGCAGCCCTGTCAATGTATTTGCTTCCTATCTTTGCATAGAGAGTTTGTCTTAATGTAGAGGTGGACTCTCAGGATAGCGTAAGATACCCCCTCCATTTTGGCCTCAACTTGAGAGCTTTTTTTGAGCTTGGGAGTTGATTTCAGAGAAAACCAGTGGCACCATCTTGTTTCTCGCCAACTTTTACATGAGAATCAACAGTCAAATCACAAATTCCTCACACATGCAACATCTCCATCGTCAGGGAATGGAGAATTTGCACGCAATTTTTTTATTGCTTCATCTGAAAGTGCCTAATGAGCTGAGTTCGCAATATTTTTCATAATTTTTTTCTGACATGGGAAATTGGAGAAAAATTGATTTAAAAGTGAGAAAATGCGCCGCCTTGTGACGTCATCTGGCGGCATTTCCCATTTAAACACATGTATTTTAGCAGAATCGGTTATTTTGTCATATCTCCTCTAATAATTGCTCAATTTATGAATCAAGGGTATCTTCGTGTTCAGTTCACTCAGAGGATTCCACTTAAACAGGAAATTCATCAAATTTCAGACCCTTGCAAATTCTCCATTTTACCAAAATATGTCAGGGAAATGGCAGAGAATTTGATTTTCAAAATCCTGTGGGAACCCTGGTGTGCGATAGATGAAAAAAGGGGTGGTTACCTGGGGCGGCGGCGGTGGGTTCTGGTTTCTCCTCGCTCTTGATGGCGTTGGACTCGGTGGCCGGGGCGGCAGCGGGCGTGGGTTTCGGCTCGTCGGCCACCGGCTTCGGCTCGCTCTTGGGGGCGTCAGCGGCCACCGGGACGACCGGGGCACTCGCGTCGCTCACCTTGGAGTAGTCCCCGATGACGACGTCCTGCTTCTTCTCGTTGATCGGGTACCCGTAGGCGCCCACAGCCAGAAGCGCTAAGCCCAGCAAAGCCCACTTCATCCTGCAACAAGGAATAGAATGTAAAGGTTAGAGGGTGTTCACAATACACACGAAATTGGAAAATAAGGCATGCGCCGGCCGCGTCACACACTAGAAAAAAAAACACATCGGATCTAGAGTCCAGACTCTTAAAAACATCGACAAGTAAGAATACTCTTGATTCAACCAGATTGAAGCTTAAATCAAGAACCAAGCCTCTTAATTTGAGCGGATTTCCTTTTGATTTAAGCTCAAATCTGATTGAATCAAGAGTCCTTTGAATCCTTTTTGAATCCTTTGAATTGAATCCTTTTTCTTGTCAATGTTTTCAAGAGTCTGGACTCAAGATCCAATGTGGTTTTTTTTCCAGTGCATGTCAGGGTGTCTACAAGTCCGGCATTTCTGGAAAGCCCGGAAACTGTACTGATTTTTTGAGGGCGTTCCGGAAGTACTGAAAAAGTGCGGAAATTCCGCAAAAAGGCCCGAAATTTGTTTCGTCTCTTATCATTTTTGTCGCAACTAGAGCGAGATTTTCAAATTTTTGAAATTTTTCGAATATCATCATTTGAAAGGTACTGAAAAAGTACTGAATTTTTCTGTTGAGGAGGTACTGAATTTCTTGGGAATGCACTGAAAAAGTACTGTAAAAGTACTGATTTTCGGCCAGCCTGTTTTGGTAGACACCCTGCATGTGCAACAACAGAAGGGAAACCAAAGCGCCTTTAATACCTTGGGTATGCAATGAGGCCAAGCGTAGAGCACGAATAGTGGTATTCAGAATCTATGCTAAGTTGAAACGGCGCGGCGCAGGGTGGTGGCAACGCCTCTATCAATTTCAATTGGACCGCGTCAAGCAAAAAGAACCAAGCCACATTAGCTATCGCCAAATTTAATCGGGCATTTTAATTACACACGCGAAAATGGATGTGCAGATTTTTGTGCAAATTTCAATGAATTTTCTGCATAATGCGAAGCAAATTATCTAATATTTTCTAAGAAATTCGCACAAACGCTCTCTGGTTTTATTGCCCAATTAACTTTGGCAATATCTGATGTGGCTTGGTTCTTTTCTGCTTAACGCGGCCCGTTTAATGTGCCTTTGCAGGCTGATTATTTAAATCGATAGACAAAGCAATAGACAAAAAAGACGAATGGAAAACTGAGCGATCCTGTTGGTGGAAACGAGTGATTGCGATGGATTAAAGGCAATCCACGTGACTTTGGTAACTACCCGTTTCAATCGATAGGATCGCTTCATTTTTCTTCAACTTCTTTGTCTATAGCTTTATCTATCAATTAAATCAACCTGCTGCTCTGCTACTGAAGAGAATAGTAAGGCCATATCTGAATTTTTAAAAGAATGGACTAAGGGGATAAATGATGGACTAGCTAAAGGGTCTCTCGCAGTTTGCCGTTAGTTAGCTACCTCCTCTGTCCATCGCAACCGCCCGCTTCAACCAATAGTATCCCTCCATATTCTTTTTCTTATCTTTGTCTATCAGTTTCAAAAATCAGTCCGGAGATATTATCGAAGCTCGAGAAAATATTGTGAAAAATTCACATTCACTGGAAAGAAAACACATTGGATCTAGAGTCCAGACTCTAAAAAACATCGACAAGAACAAATACTCTTGATTCAATCAGATTTGAGCTTAAATCAAGAACCAAGCCTCTTAATTTGAGCGGATTTCCTTTTGATTTAAGCTTAAATCTGATTGAATCAAGAGTCCTTTTTCTTGTCAGTGTTTTCAAGAGTCTGGACTCTAGATCCAATGTGTGTTTTTTTTCCCAATGTTCTAACGACCCTCAATCATAATAAAAACGTGAAACTACCGGCAATACTAATAGGTAATATGAAATCAAAGGTTGACTACCCTCTAGGGACCTACATGTGAATTGGTATCGAATTAAAAAACCTCCGTTGTACACAAAAGCCCCATCGTTAAGCCCACTCTGCACCGAGTAAACAGAAAACCACAGTGCAGACAGTTGCATTTAAGCGAAACGCGATGCGTTTGCATTCTGTGGTCATCGCAGCGTCACACACCAACGAGGACTGCAAAATCGTGCAAAAAATCAGCATTTCACCCATTCGGCCCGATAGTAAAATGCGGTGCATTTTATGCAATTTGGCAACGATGCCCATTAACGAATTAGCCAACGATGTCTAATTGAGTTATCGCTAATTTATCGGGCAATTTCACCAAAGCTGCCGTAAATGAATCGGCGGATTTCAAAACCGACTATGTCAATAATCTAGTGAGTCGAGGATTATGAGTATTTTTACGGGGTTGAGGGCTCATCAGGAAATGGACACAGTCGATTTTAATATTCAGCGAATAGAATTGAGCGCATCTTAATCAAGGTTAGATGGCCTGTCATCGATCATCCATCGGAAAACCACAAATGGACGTATTTCTGTCAAACGGAACTATGTGCATTTAGACATGAGCCCTGAGACCCATAAGAATGCATGTATAACAGGGCTCACGTCATAATGCACATAGTTCCGTTTGATAGAAATACCTCCAAATGGGAATTCTTGTTTGTTTTCTGCAGCTTTGATGCTTGCACCGTTCCATCACTGTAAGCGCTTTGACTCCTCAAATTTTCATTTCCTCTTTGTTGCGTTGCCATGCTACCGATGAGTGCAGTAAGTCCTAAAATTTAGTTTTTAGAGAGGGGGTCGAGCACCGTATCGAGCGGACATTTTTTTAAAACTTTTCACCGTTTTCTTAAAATTTTTCATAATGGTCTGAAAGACTGTTACTTTTGAGTAACGTTGTGTTGCCACGAAATATCCAATGAAGTTTTTATTTCAGAGGAAAATTGTGCTTATTTTTTCTTGAATTTTTCAGGAATTTTATTGTTTAACGTTACTCTGTAAATTTAATGAAATTAGTCTAGATTTAAATCATGTAGATAGACACAAGAAATATTCTTGTAGTAGCTACGCTGTGCTTAAATGAAATTTCGTCAAAAAAATAAAGAAATTCAGGACTATTATATTAAATTGGAAAGAATCCCAACAATTCAAGATGCCCTACTTTATCAGTGAATTTTTGCAGCGCCTGAATTTTCAAACGGAGTTTTTCGTCAGCTCGATAATATTCTACCGTCGTGCTGGGGAAAAACAGCGTATGGAGCTTGAGATATTGCCGAAGTTCCTTTGATAAAACATCGATTTTCTAGTAAACTTTTGAGTGTATTCCTTCTAGTGTCTTACATAATTTTCTTTGTAATTTGATCTAAAGCCCTTGAAAGAGTGTAAGACTAAAGACCGTAAGACTGTCAGAATGAAAAAAAAAAACTTGAACCGGTTCCAAATAAGTTGATACTTGTGTATCATTTCAAGCCTTTCCGGAAGTTCAGGCCCTCGGACAACTAAAAACGTTGAAAGAAATCCTGATAGGCTATCACTTCCATTTTTTCCCAGCAATTTTTTGTTTGGGGGACCATCACTCCAATGATCACCAGTGAAATTCAGCAGCCTTTTGACACCGTCTCATCTCAATCTACTTATACAACCGCGAGACGAGCAAACCATTCTCAGTCGCGAATATTTGGGAACCGGTTTCGCCTGCGAATTACGGGAGTCCGACGAGCGAAAAAAATCTGAACTGGTTGCGCTTCGAAGCCCTACCGCAAACCATAATCACAACCACCCTGGACGATTGGATCAAATTTTTGATTCGAATCTCCGCACAGTAAGGAAAAACAGTTGCAGCTAGAATTAAGATCACGAAGTTTTCCTTTACCGCCATGAAATAATTCCGCACATTTCCATTCTTTTTTCGCAAAAATTTTATCAATTTTTTTTTTTTAAAAAGACTCCACTTGCACACGTCTAATTAATTCAGTTGCGCAACTAAATTAATTTGACGTGCAAGTGATTCTTTTTTTTTTCTAACAGAAAAAATTTGATCACTTTCGTGTGCGGCCTCCAAGGCGAAAGAGTTTTTCAATTTTTCGTTTTATTTTCGTTGAAAAAATTTGATGCCTGAATCAACAGCATGATTGAAGTTATTGACGTATAGGATTGGATAAGTTTTCGCCTGAAATGGTGCCTTCTGTTGAAAAAAAAATACACGCAAAGCGAAAAATCGCGACGGAATTCCACAATTTATAAACCAACTTGGAAGAATCAGCCATTTATATTCTTTTGCGCGTATGCTCGTAGAGAGATCTTTGCACTTTAATATCCCGCTGTGATGTTGTTAAAATTTGTAAAGATGGATTACTATTTTCAAAAATACACAGGGTGATCCGAAAGTCCGACTCCATATGGACCAAGCTTCACCCCTGTAGCTTTTGAACGAAGTGAGGTACAGAAACATGCCATGTTTCCGAGTGCCTCCAGGTAAAAAGAGACGAATTCTGAGAACCCCCAAAATTTCAAAGGGACCATCCTAAAAAGGGGTAATAATCCTCGGGGTTCTGAGGGTGATGCAGGAATTTTGGATCACCCCCTAAAAAAATCTTGATTTCAGACTGCGAAGTTTCTTTTGGCAAAACGACTTTTTGCCTAACTGTGCGGCAGTCCTTCGCAATCTCGAAACTTTGGTCGAAGCAGCTGGTCACATCGGCCGCGAATTACGCAATTATTTGCAAGTCAACGACTCGATAATCACCCCATCTTCGGGAATTTCTCTTCTTCTTTCGGCATTTTCGGTTGCAAAATTACACGAACAATCCTCGTTCACGCCGTCGCACTCAATGAAATTCCACCAAGTTTTAGGCCCTGCTTGACACTGGCATTCGCTCAGTTCATTCGCCCTTGCCCGGCTCACATAACCAAAGTTGGACGTATTTCTGTCAAACGGAACTATGTGCATTATGACGTGAGCCCTGTTATGCATATATTCTTACGGGTCTCAGGGCTCATGTCTCAATGCACATAGTTCCGTTTGGCAGAAATAAGTCCAGTTGATGACTGCTTCCGAATGAAAGTTGTTACCGAGATGCGTGCTTGTTCGATAACATGCACTAAGTTCTAATTGATTTACATCTCGTCGCCCCCCT